TTCGCCCCTCTCCCCTCCCTCCCCTCCCTCCCCTGCCTACTCCACCTTCCCATCCCCTCCAACCCCTCTCCTCGCCATCCCCCGAGGTGTCGGAACCCTGACAAGAGGTTTTAATATCAGAATTTTCTGTCAGATCTTGGTGCGATGCGAGGCATTTCCTGATGAATTTATGAACTATACCGTCCTGGCAATGTGTTGGCCTAGGTTGGCTTGATGAATGTTTGAGACAAAATCTTTTAAAAACTGGTTTTCCCTATTCTGTCTTTCTAATAATACTATTTAAATGCCAAATGAAAATTTGAGACAAAAATCTTAAAAACTGTTTTTTTTTCTTTTCTGCTCTTCTGAGAACATAATTTAAATCTTTAAAAATTAATAATCCTTTTCTGCCTGTCTAGAAATATATTATTGCTAATCCTTTTTTCTTTCTTTTTACAATTTCCTTGGAGGACACAAGGGGGTTAAGACTTTTCTTGTTTCAAATATATATATTAACGAAAGTTACTCTTAGAGTAGAAATTTTAGAATTTTGCACATCTTTTGTCTCCTTTCTAATTTTTCATAAGCAATTCAAAAGACGATTTTTTGTTTAAATGTAAAATATAAATTACTAAGATATCACATAATATGCCATGTCTTTTATTTTAGGTTTTTCTGAAACGACGAATAAATACTTGAAATGAAGTGATCTTTCGAAACCGTTGTTCAGAAATGTAATGCTCTTTTTTTCTATCAGAAGGAAACAGGAAGCAATAATTAACGTCTAAGTTTTATCAAGAGTGGGGCAATTTGAGACGCATACGCTAGAAAAAAGTTTGTCAGAATTTGAAGATGTACTTTTGCAGTTGTTGGGGTTTTTTTTTATCATCCCGTATGACTAATGAAAAAATACTCCCCCTTCCCTCTTGCCTCCTGCCACATCCCTCCAAAAAAAATAAAAATATAATATATATAATACACACATGATAAAATGTTTGACACAGTTAAATGAAATGACTGTAGAAATATACGGAAATAAAAATAATTTGTAAAAGTCTAAAATAAAACAAATGCAAACAAAAGCACAGAAAGGAAAAGCTAATTCCTATTAATTGGATAATATATATAGTCTATTATGTCATTATCATCATCATAAAGTGCCAAATCTGAAACAACACGTCGGCTATCATAGTTCACTGGACATCTCTTCGTTCGGTTGCTCTAAAAATAACACACACGCACACACATACACACACACACACACACACACACA